CCATTACTACTGGTGCAGCCCAAGCTGATTGGCATTCCACAATGACACCTAGCTTCAACATCCGCTCAATTTCCGTCTTAAGAACATTCTTTCTAGATGGAGACAATCTATATGGAGGATTTGCAATTGGATCCGTGTCTTTTGTATGAATTCGATGAACTGCAAATGGTGTGGTGGTTGTTGGCTCACAGAAAATGTCTTCATTGCTGATCAGAATGTTGTCGAGTTCTTGCTTTTGTTGTTCGTTGAGTGAGACTCCATCATTTTCTTTCAGCATTTGAATTTCAATATTGAAAAGGGGTAAGAATATGCTATCAAGATAAGCATCACCATTATTCCGGCTTGCCTTTACAGGAGGTCCAAAAAGTCTAGATTCGTTACTGGGAGTTGACTGATTTGATGGAATAGCTCCACGAAAGATGTCTTGTATGGAGTGAGGAGAATAGTCATTCTTGATTTCCATAGCATGTGACGTTCCAGCTCTCACAGACTTCGGAGCATAACATTCTTGCGTGGTAGTCGGAATATTTTGTATTTCTTTCAGTACTTCTGGTGTAGATGGTAGAGGTGAAACCTTGCTTCCTTCAACATATTCAATGAATTTTGACATTCCGCTGATTGCTTTAGTTGTTGGAGAATCATGGTGAGCTTTGACATCTACAGAAAACACTTGCATTTCCAAAGGATTGGTAAACGAGTATTTCTTCCTTGGTTCCTCTTCATAGTACCAATAACGTTGTGCCATATTCAAAATAATGCCGGATTGTTCCATGAAATCGGTTCCAATCAGAGTGCGATTTTTAGTAGCGTTAGGGAGACATAGCAGTCGGATTTTCTTCTTTCTATTGCCAATCGTAATACCACAGATGGTCGATTCCACTACCCAAGTTCTTGTCGAACCATCGGCCAGACTTACTTCAGCATTTATTGGTTGAAACTGGCATCCGTTTTCTTTTAAAATGTTTGCAAGGTTCAAGCTAGCAACGCTTACCTTTGCACCAGTGTCGAAAACTGCTTCACCAAGTAACCCAAATATTTCCACATGAGTTGTTGGTAGAGTTCGGCCAATCATTTCAGTAGCAATAGTATTAAAAGAAAGAGGTTGAGGACTGTTCTTGTTGTTGTTGCTACATTTTGTGCAGTTGGAACGATAAACGCCAGGCGCACCACAACCATAGCACGTTATTGTTGGTGTTCTTCGCTGCTGTGTGGTACTCGCATTTTGAAGTTGTTTCGGCAAAGTCCTCACACAAACGTCTTGCTGTTGTTGTTGCTTTAACTCACGCTTCTTCAGCTTCAAACACATATCTTTGCTGTGACCAGGCTTGCGACAGAAACGACAGCGCACAAGTTCTGTCTCACTTTGTACATTTTGCTGCTTGTGCGTTTCGAGCAGAGCTAACTCAGCCTCTCTGCAGGTAGCTAGCAGATCTTCAAACGTTTTTATGCTTTCTCTACGCACACGCTCTCTGATATTTATGTTGAGCAAACCATACACAATGTTGAGCTGAATCTCTTCGGACACAGGGACAGCCAGCTGTGCAAACAGTAATCGTTGTTTACACACAAATGTGTCCGTGTGCTCATTTTGTTGTTGCTTTGACTCGACGATGGTTGAAAATATACGCCAATCAGGTAGCGGTGGCGAAAATGTTTTCTTGATCAATTTTATGGCCTCATCAAAAGTGGCGACTGTGTTCTTTACACCAATCCACCAGTTGGCAGCATAATCTTCTAATAATAACTGCAACCCTTTAAGAGCATCGGCATCTGCAATAGATTCAATGTCTTTGTAGACAGTAATTGCAGTAATAAATTCTTCAACAACGGCTGCGTCTCGTTGTCCCTTGAAGCGAGCAGTGCAATTAGAAAATGACCCAGCACGGTTATTGCTTTGCATTACTTGGATGAGTTGCTTAAATTGTGCCTCTGTAAACTGCGCCATATTTTCTTCTCCAGACACGTATTCGTCACTATCAGGGTTTTGTTCTTCCTTGGCTTTGTAGGTATGTTCCGCGGCCTCTGAGTTGGGCGCCAATGAAACACTTTTATTTGTGTTTTGCGCCGCTGTTTCTGCGTTGGGCGTCAATGAAACAGATTTGCTTCGCAAATTGTACATAAATAAGACACACCAAGCTTCAATTATTTTCTTTGTTAATGCTCACAGCAATCTTATCTGATGGTTACGATGTAACATGTAAGAATGGAGATCGCTGTATGAGTACTTCTTTATTTTTTGCTCACAACAATCTTATCTGATGGTTACAATGTAACATGTTAGAATGGAGATCGTTGTATGAGTGGTTTATTCAAATTCATTCTGACTTAGGTTCTATGTTTGAGAAGCGAAACTGTCGTCTAGAACGCAGTTATTTAATAACGTAATGGCTAAGTTGTCTATATTAGTAATAATTTAAATAGAGTACAAGGTTGCATGATTTGGGATTAAATATAAATGTACAAGAATAAAACGGGTTGCTTCAAGATTTTTTAAAGGACTATAAACGTGGATTTTTTAAAGATTTTTTAAAGGACTATAAACGTGGATTTTTTAAAGATTTTTTAAAGGACTATAAACGTGGATTTTTTAAAGATTTTTTAAAGGACTATAAACGTGGATTTTTTAAAGATTTTTTAAAGGACTATAAACGTGGATTTTTTAAAGATTTTTTAAAGGACTATAAACGTGGATTTTTTAAAGGACTATAAACGTGGATTTTTTAAAGATTTTTTAAAGGACTATAAACGTGGATTTTTTAAAGATTTTTTAAAGGACTATAAACGTGGATTTTTTAAAGGACTATAAACGTGGATTTTTTAAAGGACTATAAACGTGGATTTTTTAAAGGACTATAAACGTGGATTTTTTAAAGGACTATAAACGTGGATTTTTTAAAGGACTATAAACGTGGATTTTTTAAAGGACTATAAACGTGGATTTTTTAAAGGACTATAAACGTGGATTTTTTAAAGATTTTTTAAAGGACTATAAACGTGGATTTTTTAAAGGACTATAAACGTTTTTTTTTTTAAGGATATTTAAAGGACCATTATGTGGATTTTTTAAGGAGTTATTCTTTAGAAGAAGAGGAGGCCTTCTTATAAAAAAGCAAAGGCACTTAACTCAGAAGTAATGGTCCCCTCCTAGTAGACCACAAAATCTTTCCCTCCCCGCGATTTTCTGTTTTCCCAGAAGTTATTCTTAAGAAATTTAGAAGGCCTTCTCTTCAAAAAACCAGAATATGTTTTTATAGAAAAATAAAAGGTCTTCACTTTGAAGTTCAGAAGGACTTACCTTAAAAGACAAAGAAGAAGAAAATAGTCTAACGATATAAGAGATAACCTCTAGAACAACAAACTTATTAGGGTGGTCGGAGTGGTATTCGTGGAAATTCTGATGATGATGCTAAACATTATTACAGAATGAATACCGCGGAAAAGAAAAATATAAAAAAATATGAACTTTATTGTAAGAGGTTGACTTATTTTTCATAGCCTCAAATATGGAATATGGAGAGGGTCTTCTTAGTCTATTTCGGGAGGCGTTCTGTTATTTGTGAATCTAAAAAGTCCAGATATGCCTTAATTGCCGTCAAATTCTTTTCATGGAGGAAGATAAGTTCTTTTCTTGAAGGACTACAAGTTCTTCTCTTAGAAGACCACTAAATGTCCGTCTGTCCATGTATTTTTGTAAACAAAGTACAGGTCGCATTTATTGTCCGATCCAAATGAAATTTTGCACAAATCATTTGATTGACCCAAGGACGAATCCTATTGAAATTGGAGATAATCGGCCAAAATTTAGCTATAGCTCCCACATATATCTTCGTCCGATTTGCCTTTTATTGTGCACCAAACGTGTAATATCAGCCGAAATGGTATGGAATTTGGAACTTACGACCAAATTGGGTCTACAAACAAGTATGTCAAATTTAGTGAAAATCGATGCAGATATAGCTGTGGGTCCCGTATATATTGTTCATCCGATTTGTTGAATTTATCCTGCACAGCCGTAATATGCATTCCTTAACGATATTTTGAGAACAATATCAAATACAACTCTGAAATACCTTATCCAAATTTTATCGAGATCGGCTCAGATTTGGATATAGCTCCCATATACAACTTCGTCCGATTTGCCCTTTATTGTGCACCAAACGTGTAATATCAGCCGGAATGTGATGAAATTTGGCACTTACGATCAAATTGGGTCTACAAACAAGTATGTCAAATTTGGTGAAAATCGATTCAGATATAGCTATAGGTCCCATATATATTGTTCATCCGATTTGTTATTTTTGTCCTCCGCAGCCGTAATATTCTCTCTGTAACAACAATATTTGGGGAAATATATCAAATACAGCTAAGAAATATCTTTGGTAAAATTTACCCACATCGGTTCAGATTTGGATATAGCTGCCATATATATTTTCGTCCGATTTGCCTTTTATTGTGCACCAAATGTGTAATATTAGCCCAAATGGGATGGAATTTGACACTTACGACCGAATTAAGTCTAGAAGCTAGTATGTCAAATTTGGTGAAAATCGATTCAGATATAGCTATAGGTCCCACATATATTGTTCATCCGATTTGTTATATTTGTTCTCCATAGACGTAATATGCATTCCTTAATAACAATATTTTGAGAACAATATCAAATAAGGCTCTGAAATACCTTATCCAAATTTTATCGAGATCGGTTCAGATTTGGATGTAGCTCCAATAGATAGCTTTATCCGATTTCAAGTTTTGAATGGGGCCTCTTATAAGATTAAAATATTTTTAATGATTATAAACAAAAATAACATTACTTTTTAATAAATTCTTATGCTGCCTCTTGAAAAAAAGATGGTGGATCGCTACTTCCCCAAGGTAGGTATACAACTAACCTTTATTTGCAAATTAACCACCAAAACTATTGGCTACTTTAAATTCTATTTAATTTTGAATTTTTATATTTTATTTTCCATAATTTCCACTTCCCCACCCTTCCACAGCTTCCCGATGTCAGCATTATTATCGACAATTTGGATCAGCTGATCAATGATAATATTGCCTCGGCTGGGGAAAAGGGTAGCAATGCCTTGAAACAAATGCGCTCACATCTCAACAATACCATTGCCAGTTATACGCCACAAATTATTGAGTCCATTAATAAAGCAGGTTGGTAATCTCTCACAAAATTTCTTGATTTTCTAGAGTTGCTAATGTAATTGTTATGAATGTCTCTTTTCAGGTGAAGGCCTGCAAAAGGTTTCCAACGACATTAAAACCGAACTGGACAAGGTTTCCAAAGTCATCGATACAAATACCAATAAGTATACAAATATAGCTGATAATTATTTAGTTGAATATGGACCATATCGTTTTTATGTGGGCATTGGTGTTTGCTCCATATTGTTGTTGGTAGGTATATTCATATATTTTTTTTTTTTTGTATAGAAATATATTGATGTGAAATATTTCTTTTTGTAGGTTTTAGTATGTTTGGTAGCAGCTTTATTGTGCGGCATCTGTGGCAAACGTCCAGATGGTTATGGTGATGATTGTTGTAACAAGGGCTCTGGCTCCAGATTCCTTATGTTGTAAGTTATAAGAAGGTTTAATTGTTTTTTATAAAAAATCAGAAGGGCTTCTCATAGAAGACAAAATATATGTTCCCATAGAAGACGGGAATGTGTTCTAAACGAGGACCAAAAGGTCTTCTCATAGAAGACCAAAGAGTCTTCTAATAGAAGACCAAAGGGTCTTCTCATAGAAGACCAAAGGGTCTTCTCATAGAAGACCAAAGGGTCTTCTCATAGAAGACCAAAGGGTCGTCTCATAGAAGACCAAAGGGTCTTCTCATAAGAAGACCAAAGAGTCTTCTCATAAGAAGACCAGAAGATCTTCTCATAGAAGACCAGAAGGTCTTCTCATAGAAGACCAGGTGGTCTTCTCATAAAAGACCAGGAAGTATTCTTATAGAAGGACAAAAGTAGGCCAGTTGGTCTTCTCATAGAAGTCCAAAAGGTCTTCTCATAGAAGAAGACCAGTTGGGCTTCTCATAGAAGAAGACTGGTTGGTCTTCTCATAGAAGAAGACTGGTTAGTCTTCTAATAGGGGACCAGAAGGTCTTCTCATAGAAGAAGACCAGAGGGTCTTCTCATAGTAGAAGACCAGTTGGTCTTCCCATAGAAGAAGACCAGTTGGTCTTTTCAAAGAAGAAGACCAGTTGGTCGTCTCATAGAAGAAGACCTGTTGCTCGTCTCACAGAAGAAGACCGTTGGTCGTCTCATAGAAGAAGACCAGTTGGTCGTCTCATAGAAGAAGACCAGTTGGTCTTCTCATAGAAGAAGACCAGTTGTGCTTCTCATGGAAGACCACCAGTTGGTCTTCTCATCGAAGAAGACCAGTTGGTCTTCTCATAGAAGAAGACCAGTTGGTCTTCTCATAGAAGAAGACCTGGTGGTGTTCTCATAGAAGAAGACCAGAAGGTCTTCTCATAGAAGAAGACCAGAAGGTCTTCTCATAGAAGACCAGAAGGCCTTCCCATAGAAGAAGACCAGTTGGTCTTCTTATAGAAGAAGACCAGTTGGTCTTCTCATAGAAGAAGACCAGTTGGTCTTCTCATAGAAGAAGACCAGTTGGTCTTCTCATAAGAAGACCAAAGGGTCTTCTCATAAGAGGACAAGAGGGTCTTCTCATAGAAGAAGACCCGTTGGTCTTCTCATAGAAGAAGACCCGTTGGTCTTCTCATAGAAGACCAAGATCCGTTTGTATTTATAGAGAACCAGAAGGTATTCTCATAGAAGACCCGTTGGTCTTCTCATAGAAGAAGACCAGTTGGTCTTCTCATAGTAGAAGACCAGTTGGTCTTCTCAAAGAAGAAGGCCAGTTGGTCTTCTCAAAGAAGAAGGCCAGTTGGTCTTCCCATAGAAGAAGACCAATTGGTCTTCTCATAGAAGAAGACCAGTTGGTCTTCTCATAGAAGTCCAGTTGGTCTTCTCATAGAAGTCCAGTTAGGACTTCTCATAGAAATCCAGTTAGAACTTCTCATAGAAGTCCAGGTGGTCTTCTCATAGAAGACCACTTGGTCTTCTCCTGGAAGACCTGTAGGTCTTCTCCCAAAATACCAATTTATACATTTTATTTACCCTAATTTCCGTTTATCTTTCCAGTGCCGTTGCCATTATATTTTTGACAATATCGGGTATAACAATAATTGCCCTTGTACATTTCTTGATTGGCATTGTGACCTATCGCGGGGTCTGTGTGCCATTAAGGTAAGTTTCCCCCACAAAAGAATTAGTGAAAATTCCTTCACTAATCCTGATTTTATTTTTGCTTTTCCAGAAATCCCCAAGACGATGCCGTGTTTGCAGAATTCGATAATTTAATTGACTTGAATGAGGTCTTGTATCCATCGAAAATTAAGGGCCAAGCTGCTTCAGGCTCTCTGCCACCATTCCATATATCGCATGTTATTGTTGCCTGCCAAAAGAATCAAACCATCTACGAAGTTCTACACATCAACAATATGGTCGATATAAATGCCATCAAAGAATATCCTGCCGATTATAAAATCAATAAGACTCTGGACGACTTGGTCAATGGTATTGACTTTAACGATAGCAACGTTGATATCCTCTCGCCCGCCGACAAACAACGTATCCTTGAATTGGGACAGTCTGCACTGAAAGACTTTGATTCCGATCAATTTGTACACAATCTAAACGACAACATAACGAAACACTCACTAACCGATATTGCACAACAGTTGCGTGAAACTGCCAAAAAGATAACAAGCTCAGACATGAAAGATGTTCAGATATCACTGCGTAATCAGGCATTGCATTTAGAGACATACGAACAGAATTTGGTGATACCGATGAAGACACAATCGGCGGAGTTGATTAAACTGGCCAAGGAGTTGGACAGCACGTTGACGTATAAGGAACAGAAATTCCAACAATCGATACCATTGTTGGTGACCGAAATTGAACAGGCTCAAACATTTATCCGTAAGGATGGTCGGAATTTTGTCAAGTCTTCGGCGGAGACATTTACCAATCATTTTGCCGGGGAAATTGATCGTTACTTGAATATGGTGGTGAATGCAGTGGAGAATAAGATTGGCATTTGCCATCCCATGGCCAATGTTTATGAGGCTGGCATTGTGGCGGCCTGCAACAATATTATCGATCCATTGGTGGGTGTTTTAGTAGAATACAAAAGGCATTGTTTGCTAATCTTTTTGTCTTTAATACAGAACGGTTTCTGGGCTGGCGTATTCTGGTGTGTTATCTTGTTCTTGCCAACTTTAATTGTGGCCGTCAAACTTTCCAGTTTATATCAAAAATCCGACCCCTATCCCGGCCCCTTGGTTGAATCGTAAGTATAACTCCACCATAACATCCCCTCTCGTTTCTTTTCCCCAAAAACTTTGTAGACGAAATTTTCCATATCTCAATGACAACATGACCCAAAAAAAAAAAAAAAAATTTAATAATTTGTGATATAATTTTTATAACAAAACAAATACCCACCCACTGGCTTAGTTCTTAGATTGAGAATGTTTTGAAAACAATAAAAACAAAGTTGAAGCTTGTTTTGTGTTGGCATCAGTTATCATTATTTGTAGCTTTGTATTCTGTCATAAGTTTCCCCCTCTTTCTTTCTTTCCTTCCATCCTCTTTCTTCCTTTGTTTGCCCCTTTTTATACAACACTTGTTAAATTATTTTTATTATTATTGTTTTCTTATTTATATATATATTAACATTTCAAAATTGTGTTTGTTTTTATTGTAACATCATGTGATACATTCGTTAAATACCAAAAAAATACAAAACAAATTATTTAAAAAAATATACACATCCTCCTCACAACTCAAAATGGACCACACCACTTGAACAGGGAGTATTTATATGATGCATACAGTGAACGTGATCACATTCCATTGTCAAAGTAAGTTGAAATGCATTTGAATTTGATTTTTTTTTTGTTATGGTATTACATCTATCTCATATCACAAACACACGTATTTACTTAATATATATTTTATGTTGTTGTTTGTTGTTGTTTTGAGGTTCAATTATTGGAAAATGGAAACGGAAACTGAGACTTGGAGAAAATACTTAAAAAAAAAAAATATTCTGATATGGAAGACGTCCGAATTCTTAACAAAAGTTCGAGGAGAGGGCAGAAACCTTTTTTGAAAACAATTTTTTAAAAGCCACCATAAATCCTTTTGGAACAGTTCTTTAAAAAATCCTTGACTGGAGATATAAAAGCCCTTTCGCAAAATTTTTAAAAATTTCCACTATCAGATGTCTGGAAGTCCTTAGGAACAAATTCTAAAATACCCGCAGTTAAAGGTCCCAAATTCCTTTGGAAAAAATTATTTTAAAACTTCCACGATTTAGGATTTGAAATTCTTTTGAAAACATTTTTACAGGGTCCATTATTGCTGTTGGAAAATGTCTTTAAAATCTCCACAATTAGACTGGAGGTTTGAAAGTCCTTTCGAAAATTCTTAAATATTTCACGACCAGATGTCTGGAATTCCTTCCAATTAAACGTCCCAAATTCCTTTAGAAAAAATTATTTAAAAACTTTGACGATTAAGGATCTGGAAGTCTTTAGAAAACATTTATAAAGGATCAAATATTGGTGTTGGAAAATGTCTTTAAAATCTCCAAGATTAGAATTCTAAAAGTCTTTAGGATAAAAATTAAAAACCCATGTTTAGAAGTCTGGAAGTCTTTCTAAACAAATTTAAAAATACCCACAATTAAGGTTCCAAATTCCTGCCTTACTTCCTGACCATTTTGCAACCACAAAAGGTCCCAAATTCCTTTACAAAACCTTTTTTAAAAACATCCAAGATAAAAGCCTGAAAGTCTTTAGAAAAAAAATTAAAGGATCTAATATTAATGTTTAAAAATTTCTTTAAAAGCTCCACGATCAGAGTTCTAAAAGCCTTCATGAATGGAGATCTGAATGTCGTTTTTAAAATTCTTAATAATTGCACGACCAGATGTCTAGAAGTCCTTCGGAATAAATTCTAAAATACTTACAATTAAAGGTACGAAAATTCTTTAGAAAATTTTATTTAAAAACTTTCACCATTAAAGATCTGGAAGTCTTTAGAAAACATTTATAAAGGATCAAATATTGGTGTTGATTTTTTTAAATCTCCACGATTAGAGTTCTTAAAAATCAACTTTTAGATGTCTGGAAGTCCTTCGGAACTAATTCTAAAATACCCACAGTTAAAGGTCCCAAATTCCTTTAGAAAAGCTATTTAAAAACTTCCACGATTAAATATCTAAAAGCCCATTGAAACAAATTTTAAAAGATCCCATATTGGGTTGGAAAATGTCTTTAAAATATCCACCATTAGAGTTATAAAAGTCTTTTGGAAATCATTTTTGAAATCCACGTTTAGAGGACTAATAGTCCTTTAAAAAAAAAAAACTTAAAATTCCCTGGATATGAGAACAGAAAGACTTTGGGGAAATTCTTAAAAAAAGGAAAAAAAATCTAAAAAAAAAACTATAAATAGATGTCTAAAAATACTTTGAAAAAATTACTATTGGAGGTCTACAAGTTCAATCCACTATAAGTCCTTTTGAAAACTCATTTTAAAATCAAATCATTATAGGTCTGCAAATCCTTTAGAAAACTTTATTAAAATATCCAGTTAGAGGTCTGAAAGAAAATTCTCAGAAAATTCTCGGTGTGAATCAGGCTAAACTTCGACTATTGGCGCCCAACTTGTTTTATAATTACAAAAAAAAACTCGTTAAAAATCCATTGGCGTCCAACTTGTTTTATAAATAAAAAAACTCCTTTAAAATCCAATGGCGCCCAAGGTGTTTAATAATTAAATAAACTAATTCAAAATCCAATACAAAGAAAACTACTTAAAAAGACATTGATGCCCAATGTGTTCTAAAATTAAAAAACTCCTTTAAAATCAATTGGCGCCGAACGTGTTTTAAAATTAAAAAAATAAATAAATTAATTAAAAAAAAAAAAATAAAAATTCATTGGCGGCCAATGTGTTTTAAAATTGAGAAGGGTCATTCAAAATCCAAAAACACGTTAATAATCCATTGGCGCCCAACGTGATTTATAAAACATACACTCTTAGATCCTTTAAAAAATATCTTTAAAAAGTCCATGTTTAAATCCTTCAAAAAAATATCTTTAAAAAATCCATGTTTATATCCTTCAAAAAATATTTTTAAAAAGTTCACATTTAGATCCTTCAAAAAAATATTTTTAAAAAGTCCACGTTTAGATACTTCAAAAAAATATTTTTAAAAATCGTTCAAAAAATATTTTTAAAGAGTCCACGTTTAGATCCTTCAAAAAATATCTTTAAATCCTTTCCAAAAAAGTCCACATTTAGATCCTTCAAAAACATTTTTAAAAAGGCCACATTTATTTCTTTCAAAAAAAAAAAATAGTTTTAAAAAGTTCATATTTGAATCCTTCAAACAAATATTTTTAAAAATCTTTAAAAATATATTTTTAAAAAGTCCACGTTTAGGTCCTTCTATAAATATCTTTGAAAAATCCACGTTTCAAAAAAGACGTTCAAAAAATAATTTTTTTTTAAAAATTCTACGTTCAAAAAAAAAATATTTTTAAAAAGTTCACATTTAGGTCCTTCAAAATAATTATTTTTAAAATGTCCACGTTTAGATCCTTAAAAAAATATTTTTAAAAACTCCACGTTTAAATCCTAAAAAAATGCCGTCAAAAACATTTTAAAACGTTAAAAACGTTAAAAAAATTCCACGTTAGAGATCCTTGAAAAAAATTGTTTTTTAAAAATCCAATTTTTCTTAAAAATCGTCATTTGAAGTCCTTGAAATCATTTTTCTTTTAAAAAATCCTCGATTGAAGTCCTTGAAAAATTACCTTAAAAAAAACCAAAATGTTTTTTCTATAAAAAATCTAAAAATCCCTGAAAATGTTTTCCCTTAACAATTTTTCATAAAAAATCCATATTTGAGGTCCTTAAAACAAAGTTTTTTTTTAATAAACGTTTGAGGTCCTTGAAAAACTTTTTTCTTTAAAAAATCCATGTTTATATCAAGAAGATATTTTTTCTTCAATTTTCACTAGAAGCGGTTGAAACAATTTTTTCTTTAAAAAAATCCTCGTTTAAAGTCCTTGAAAAATCGCTTCTTTAAAAGAACACATGTCAGGTCCTTGAAAAAAGTTTTTCTATAAAAAAATCCATAAATCAATAAATTCTTAAAAATATTTTTCTATAAAAAAATCCAATTGGGAGGGTTTTATTAATTGTTTTTTTTTAATATCAACGTTCGAGGTCCTTGAAAAAATGTTTCTAAATAAATTCCACTCTCGAGGCCCTTGAACAATTTTTAAAATTCCACTTTCGAGGTCGTCGATTATTATTTTAAATAAATTCCACGTTCGGGTCCGTTATTATTTTTTTTTAGATCGATGTGACTGATTTTTCTATTTTAAATTCCACGATACTTCCTTATTTTTTTTAAATTCCACATTTCAGGCCATTTTTTTTCCTTACAAAATCCAGAATTGTCAAAGAATCTTAAAAAAACACGTTTGTGATTCTTGAAAAATTTACGTTAAAAACCTCCTCTTGAAAAATGTTTATAAAAAAAACAGCTTTTAATGTCCTTAAAAAATTCAAAATACTTTATCCTTGAAATATAAAATTTAAAAAATCATGGTTTGAGGTCCTTGAAAAAAAATAAATACATAATATTAAAAGGATCCTTGAAAATTCAATTCAAAGGTCCTTGAAAAAAATTTCTGTAAAAAATTGTAAAATAATGATCCTTAAACATTTAAGGAAATCCGCTTTTAAAGTTCTTGAAAAAATTTTCAATCCAATTATTTTAAAGAACATACTCCGAAAGGCTTCATAAAAATCTTGGTTTTGTTCAGCATGAACGTTTTTTTAGGGAACATTGTGGCGCCCAACGTGGGGCTTTATTTTATATGGTCTCTATTTCCGTTCACTATTATCCATAGAATCTCAAAACAGCAACATATCATAATCTGCACTTAGAAAAATAGTTAAAAATATTCCCATGCTCTGTCTCGCTCTATCTCGAAGAAGTGAGTAGTAGAAATTTTGTTAAATAATTGGCATTGGCATTTGTATTTGGAATTATTTTTGAGTTTTGCAAAATTGTTATCTAAATTCAATTCTAAAAAAAAGACACAAAAAAACTATCTCTAAAGTTGAATGGGGATTGCAGGAGGATTAAAGAAGATCTTTTGAAGTTGTCTATAGACAGAAGTCGTCCCTTAAAGGACATCTTTAGATAGATCTTTTAAAGGTCTTCTATAGATATAAGATCTTCTATATTTTCAATAGATTGGAAAATCTATGAAAATATAAATTGGATTCGATTTTTTTCGCAAAAAGATGTCCTGCAGTCCTTATTACAACGTTGTATCTCTTAATCTTTCTCTGTCTCTATTTCTATATCTCGCTCTCTCTATCTCTCTCTTGTCTATATCATCATATTTCTGCAAAACTACGAACTACAAACATATTTATTTAAATATTTCATTGCATAACTATTTATTTATTTACTTTAATTTTTTTCTTGTGTGTGTTTGTGTTTCTTGTGTCCCTCCTCTACTTCGTCATCATCTGTAAAATCGGGGATGTGTGTGTTTGTGTGTGTCTCTGTGTATCTTGTATCCGTGATATTAAAACAAACACAAACAAACGAACAAATAAAAAAACAGTGGTCCAAAGAATAAACGCCGCAAGAATAAAGATCGCCGACGTCGCGATTATTATGAAGATCCAATAGTTTCAACATCGCATGGAATACCACCAGCCGGGGCTGGGGTACGTGATACACGCTACAGTGATATGGCGCCCAAGTAAGTTTTGCAATTTTTTTACGTTACGTTCTCTAATTATTTTCATTATTTCATAGAGCATTTATTTAGTTTTGAATTTTTTGATTTTCAAACTCATGTTAAAAACATTCTTCAACTAACTGGATATTAATGGAAAAAATCTAGAATTTCTTTTTTTTTTTAATTTAATTTAAAAATGGAAAAAAAATTTGAATAACTGTGGAATGTTTATTGGTTGAGATTTGTTGGTTTATTAACAGCTTGATGCCATGGCTTCCTTTTAAGAAATAATTAACTAGTTGTTATTTTCCTAACTCCCCCATATAGCTTCCCCTTTTTTAACTACCCCTCTCTCTTAATCTCTCTCTTTGCTATACCCTTAATTTTATATAAATTAGCATTTTTTAATATTTCCCTCCCTAAAATAAGTTTTAATTTTTATTGTTTCGTTTTATTCTTTGACATTTTATAATTTTAACCTCTATGTTTTTGGTTTCTCTAAAAAATCTAGAAGTATGGTTGGGGCTATTGATACAAGGCCAAAAGCGCTGGCGGCGGATGGTTTCTTTTAGGTATTATTTAGATTTAAGCTAAGGCTAAAATGGCTAAGAATCTGTGGCCTGGAACATCAAAGCGATGTTAAGGCTTGTTGTTAATGCTGTACACACACTCTCTCTCTCTCGCTCACTTCTACTCTCTCTCACACAGAAATTCGCTCACGCTCTAACATTTGTGTACTGTACAAACAAATAACTTAAAATTAAAGTGTGACAAATTAAAAAAAAAAAGATGGAAGGCCAAAAATTCAACCTTAAAAAAATATTTTTTTCTAGAAAATTCACGACTATTTTAAAACAAAAATTCACGACTGTTTTTTAATGCAAAAATATATATTTTTTAAAAATCCACGACCATTTTTAATGAAAAAAAAAAAAAAAAAAAAAAATATATATATATATATATATATATATATATATATATATATATATATATATATATATATATATATATATATATATATATTTTTTTTTTTTTTTTTTTTTTTTTAAACCCATAATTGTTTTTTAAACAAAAAATATTTATTTTTAAAAAAAATCCTCGACTATTTTGTAATGAAAAAAAATATATTTCTTTAAACTTACGACTATTTTTCAAATCAAAAAAAAAAAAAAAAAAAAAAAAAATATATATATATATATATATATATATATATATATATATATATATATATATATATATATATATATATTTTATACCCTCCACCATACTATGGAGGGTATATTAACTTCGTCATTCCGTTTGTAACTCCTCGAAATACTCATGTCAGACCCAACAAAGTATATATATTCTTGATCAGCGTAAAATTCTAAGACGATTTATCCATGTCCGTCTGTCTGCCTGCGTGTCTGTCTGTTGTAATCACGCTATATTTCGAACAAAGTGAGATAGAAGGTTACAATTTCCCACACATTTCTATTTTGCCAGTAGGCAGGTTAAGTTCGTAAATGGGCCATGTAGGTCCACGTTTTCATATAGCCCCCATATAACTGTACCTCCCTATATTCGGTATTTTGATGATTTTAGCGGCTTTATTCACTGGAATTGTTTCAAATTTGGTATTTGAAGTTCCAAATGGATGCTACAGCCTAAGACAGAAAATTGTCTATGCAGGTCCAGGTCTTCGTATAGGTCCCATATATCAGAACCTCCATATATTCGGTATTTTGACGATTTTAGGTACAATACTCACTGAAATTGTTTGAGATGTCGTATTTGAAGTTCGTAATGGATACTACACCCTAAGACAGAAAATTGTCTGTGCAGGTCCACGTCTTCATATAGCGTCCATATAAAGGTACCTCCCTATATTCGGCATTTTGGCGATTTAAGCGTCATTATTCGCCGGAGTAGTTTCAAATTACGTATTTGAAGTTCGTAATGGGAACTATAGTCTGTGACAGAAAATTGTCTATGCAGGTCCACGTCTTCGTATAGGCCCCATATATCAGTACCTCCCTATATTCGGTATTTTGAAGATTTTAGGTCACCGAAATTATTAGTATTTGAAGTTCGTAATGAATGCTACAGCCTGTGACAGAGAGTTGTCTATGCAGGTCTTCGGACTTCATATAGCTCCGTACCTCCCTATATACGGTATTTTTATGATTTTAGCTACATTATTCACCGTTTATTTCACGTTTCGAATTTGAATATGGTTTATGACAAACAATGCTTATGTAGGTTCACGTCGTATAGACCCCAATATAACGGCTATATTCGGTATTTTTAAAATTTTTAGAGAATTTGCAACGGATTTTATTCTTTGAAAATTTCCAAATTCGTTCCAAATGAGGGAGGGCATTCAAAGTTCGACTAGGCCGAACTTACTGCTTTTGCCGAACGGAATAATGCCATATGTTCAGCTCAGGAGCCATATTTCGGCCACTGCGATACTGTTTTCGATCAAGTCGTTTCTTTACTTTTAGAACTTTTTCGAGTTAGCGCCTGAAAGTAACATAAACTTTCATTTTATGCGGAATTTGTCAAAAGAAGAAATATTCTAAAAAAAAGTTCACTATTAATCTCAGAATAAACCTTACATCTAGGTACAATAGTTTTGTGAAAATTATATTCAAATTTTAGTACTAAAAATGAAAATTGAATGTTTTCTTTTTTAACTGTTAATGAGTTAATGCAAAATTCTCCTACAAAGCATCATCTTAGAAGGATGACATCCGAAACTAAAATAAACTTCACAAATTTCACTATATGTCACCAAAAAAAAAAAAAAAAAAAAAAAAAAAAAAAAAAAAAAAAACGAAAATATTCCCTAATTTTTTTTTTAATTGATTTTTTTCGAGCTGACGCCTGAAAGTGACATAAAATTTCATTTTAGCTGAAAGTTGTTGAAAGAAGAAATATTCTACACAAAATTTCACTATTGATCTCAGAACAAACCATATATCTAGGTACAATAGTTGCCCAAAAAATTACATTCCAAATTTATGTACTAAATTTTTAATTTTTTCTCGGACTTTTTTTCGAGTTGACATCTGAAAGTAATATAAAATTTCATTTTAGGCGGAAGGTGTCAAAAGAAGACATATTTTAAACAAAATTTCACTATTAATCTCAGAATAAACCTTACATCTAGGTATAATAGTTTCTATGAAAATTACACTAAAATGTTTGGTACTTAAAATGAAAATTGAATGTTTTCTTTTTTAACTGTTAATGAGTTAATGCAAAATTCTCCTATGATGACATTGATGACATCCGAGACAAAAATATTCTTCATCAAATTTCACTATATGTCACCAAAGAAAAGATTTCCGAATTTCCATTATATATCACGAATATATACCCATCAATGTTGCCAAAAAAAACCGAAGGTATTCCCTAATTTTTTTTTTTTTTCAATGGAATTTTTTTGAGCTGACGCCTGAAAGTGACATAGAATTTCATTTTAGGTGAAAGTTGTTGGAAGAAGAAATATTCTACTCAAAATTTCACTATTGATCTCAGAACAAACCATATATCTAGGTACAATAGTTGCCCAAAAAATTACATTCCAAATTTATGTACTAAATTTTTAAATTTTTTTCGAGTTGATATCTGAAAGTAACATTCAATTTAATTTTAGACGAAAGTTGTCAAAAGAAGAAATATTCTATACAACATTTCGCTATTAATCTCAGAATAAACCGTATGTCTAGGTGCAATAGTTTCTATGAAAATTACATTCAAAATGTAGGTACTAAAAATGAAGATTAAGTATTTATTTTTTTGACTGTTATTTTAACACATATCCAATCTGAAAAAATCTCCCTTTATACTTCATTTTTTTGATAAAGTGTTAAAGTAAGAATTATTCTAGATCAAATTTTAATAAGAGTCTCCAAACAAAAGATTTTCGTATACTTAATATGTACCACGAAAAAAATAACTTGAATTTTTGTTAAATAAAAAACCTTCTTTATTTCTGATAAATTTAGCAAGTTTTTCCAATTGACTGCAAATTTTAATATAATTTCAATAATTAAAATTTGCAGTAGGAATATTAGTGGTATTAAAAGAGAACTGACTGTTGTCTATACCCCACAAGAAAATGGTGTAGAGGGTGAAAATCGGACATTATTTGAAGTAGGACGTTGTCTTCTAAATAAATTTGGATACAGATCAAAATTCTTGGCCTTCCATCTTAAAATATTTTGAATACATTTCAGCTTTTATATAACAATCAGCATTTCATCCATTTCTGACTTTGTTATCGTTTTCATTTTGGTTATTACAAGATTTTAACTCAAACTTATAACACTTAGCAAAAATGTCATAATAGTTACCATTTAGTTTCATTATCATTTTTGAAAGCTATCATTCATCAGATATATATTGTGCGTGTAGCTTTGTCGTGACACTATGCCACAGTTGCTACATTTGTCCACCACCCCTACGCTTCTTCATTCCGACACAAGAGCACCCAAAAACTTGTATTTTTTAAGTATTCTGTTTTTTTCTTTTCTTTGTTTTTTATGTTGTTTTGCTTCATGTGTAACGTGCTCGTGTTTTTTTAATATTATTAACATGTCAGGGACTATTTTTTGAGCCATAAACTTGTCATTAAACTTGAAAAATTTCCAACCCAGTGAACATAATTGTACATATTTTTATATTGAAACTGGTTTCTTTATACAAAATATAAATATAACCATTTGTAAGTTGATATTAGGTGTTGATTGAATAGGCTTTACTAATTTGAAATTAGATAGTTGCTCCATTCACAATATTTCATATTGAAAAATATTTCATTGAAAATTGTGACCCTTTGAGGGGGAGGTACCAAAAGGGAAGGGTCGATATCTATCACCTTCACACCAGATCTTGTATTGTAATATTGAAATTTCTAAAATTTGAAAAGAATCGGATGGTTATTTCTTGTTTTTGTTTATTCAAAAATTTGATTCTTTGTGGGGGAGGTACCAGAGGGTGTGGTCCAATATATTTCATCTTCACCCCATCCTACATTTTGGAAAAAATATTGCATGTGTAAAATTTGAAAAAAGTCGGATGCTTATTTAGCAATTTATGAGCATTTTGGTTATTTAAAATTTTAACCCTTTTGTGGGGGAGGTACCAGAAGGAGTGGACTAATATATCCCATCTTCACACCAGATCTTGCGTTATCCAAAATTTTGGGATGTGTGAAATTTGAAGACAATCTGACTCTTTTTTACATTTTATAAGATTTATAATTATTCCAAAATTTGACCTTTTGTGGGGGAGGGTACCATAAAGAGTGGCCCGACATATTCCATCTTCACAAAAATTTTTTGTTGATAGAAATATTAGGATTTGTAAATTATTTCAAATTGTATTTGTATTTTGTTTATTCAAAATTTCGATCCCTTGTAAGGGAGGTACCAGAAGGAGGGACCTATACCTACCATCTTCACACCAGAAATAGTGGAATGTGTGAAATTTGAAAACAATCGGACTCTTATTTTACATTTTATAAGAGTTAAAATTATTCCAAATTTTGACCCTTTTATGGGGGAGGGTACCACAAAGAGTGGGCCGATATATTCCATCTTCACAACAGATGTTGTTATGATGGAAATATTAGGATGTGTGAAATTTGAAGGGGATCGAACACTTATTTCGACTATTATGAGCATTTTGGTTAATCAAAATTTTGACGCCTTTGAGGGGGAGGTGCCAGAAGGAGTGTTTTTTTATATTCCATATCCACACACCAGATCTTGTTTTAGTAGAAATATTGGGATGTGTGAAATTTGAAGATAATTAGATGCTCATTTCGAATTTTATGAGCATTTTGGTTAATCAAAATTTTGATCCCTTTGTGCGGGAGGTACCGGAAGAAGTGTACCTATATATTCCATCTTCACATCAGATGTTGTGTTGACGGAAATATTGAGATGTGTGAAATTTGAAGAAAATCGGAAGCTTATTTCGCATTTTTTGGGAAATGTAATAACTCAAATATATTGACCCTTTGCGGGGGAGGTACCAGAAGTAGTGGTCCGATCAATCCCATCTTCACACCTAATCATGTATTCATAGAAATATTTAGATGTACGAAATTTGAAGATAATTGGGCTCTTATTTCACAATTTACGCGAATTGTAATTATTACAAAATTTCGAATTGCTGTGGGGGAGGTACCAGAAGGAGTGGACCGAAACATTCCATTTTCACACCTTAACTTGTGCTGATAGAAATATTGAGATGTGCCGAGTTTGAAAGTACTCGCACGCCCATTTCATATTTTATGAGAAATACAATTATTCAAAATTTTGACCCGTTGAGGGGTCCCAATATTGTTAATTTTCGCACCCGAGCTAGCAAAAGTATTACGATTTGCAAAATGTACACAAATTTGGATAATCCTTTTTGTTTTATGGAGTAAATTATTTTCTGTGACGATGTTGACCTTTAGTCGGTTACTTGAAGGAGTGGATCGATTTTGCCCATCTCCCAAATCGATCTAAGTTTGGCAATAATATTACGATGTACAAATTTTTGATCGATCTTATGAGTATAAAAATAACGATTATGATCATAAAGAGCAGGGCAGTAAATACAGCTAAATTTTATCGATATCGGTTCAGATTTGGATATAGCTCCCATATACAACTTCGTCCGATTTGCCCTTTATTGTGCACCAAACGTCTAATATTTGCCCAAATGGCATGAAATTTGGCACTTACGACCAAATTGGGTCTAGAAGCTAGTATGTCAAATTTGGTGAAGATCGGTTCAGATGTAGCTTTAGCTCCCATGTATACTGTTCATCCGATTTGTTATTTTAATCCTCCGCAGCCGTAATATGCACTCTGTAACAACAATATTTGGGGAAATATATCGAATACAGCTCAGAAATACTTTTGCAAAATTTTGTCAAGATCGGTTCGGATTTGGATATATCTCCCATATATAACTTCGTCCGATTTACCTTTTATTGTACACCAAACGTCTAATATTTTCCCAAATGGCATGAAATTTGGCACTTACGACCGAATTGAGTCTAGAAGCTAGTATGTCAAATTTGGTGAAGATCGGTTCAGATATAGCTATAGCTCCCATATATATTGTTCATTCGATTTGTTATATTTGTTACCCACAGCCGTAATATGCACTCCGTAACAACGATATTCAGGGAAATACATGAAATACAGCTCAGAAATATTTTTGCCAAATTTTATCAAGATCGGTTCAGATTTGGACATAACTCCCATATATAACTTCGTCCGATTTACCTTTTATTGTGCACCAAACGTCTAATATTTGCCCAAATGGCATGAAATTTGGCACGTACGACTGAATCGAGTCTAGAAGGGAGTATGCCAAATTTGGTGAAGATCGGTTCAGATACAGCTATAGTCCATCCGATTTGTTATATTTGTTACCCACAGCCGTAATATGCACTCCGTAACAACGGTATTCAGGGAAATATATCAAATACAGCTCAGAAATATATTTGCCAAATTTTATCGAGATCGGTTCAGATTTGGATATAGCTCCCATATATATAAAATGGGCAATACAAGTCCGAAACTCGGCATATTTAGTCTTTTGAACTTTAAATTATAATTATAATCATAGCGTTTATGATTGAATTCTCCCATAAAAACTTTTAATTGTTATGCGGAGCTGTACTAAATTAGCAAAGTGGTGTAGGGTATCATAAAGTCGGCCCCGCCCGACTTTAAGACTTTCTTTACTGGTTAACTTGTTTGATTAAGGTTTATTGTTGTATACAGGCATATCTTGATATAAACACTGCCCCTAAGGCTTTCAGCACCATTCATTGTTGTATGTGTCTTAAAAAAAATACATTTCGCTTTTCAAACTTCTTGTATAGAAACCTAAATGTTTATATAAAAAAGGTGGAAACCATATATATAAAGACCATCAGCATAGTACTTTTGTGGTCTTGTAAAAATTACCCCTAACAATACGACCAATGCAAAGCAATGTTTGCTACTAAAACGTTTTGTAAAATTCATTAAATCCAAAATTCCCCTCCAAAAAAAAAAAAAATAAATAAATCTGTGTGTATGTATCTGTGTATGTATGTGAAATAAAAAAAAATGTTTGATGTTTTCGGAATACTTTGAAAAAATTACCCTACTCTACTAACCATATGGAAATGGATATGGAAATATGAATATAAATATTTATTTAAATATATATGTGTTAAAATAATTTTTTTTTAAATTTTTTAATAATTTTTTTTGTATTTTTTTTCTTCATTTTCCCCTTTAGACACTGGGATGGCGGACCACCACGTTACCAAAACCCACCAATGGCCCCACCAGCATCCGAATACGAACGCCCACCACCATATTACTATCCGGGCGCCTCGGATCAGGACTAAGTGATCTATATTGAAATTCAGTTTTAAGCTGATGAATCTCTCACACGACAACAAGAAGAAAAAAAAAAACAACACATTAACGATGAGTACCCAAGAGATGGCAAATACATGATATGTGTGTGTGTGTGTGTGTGCGTGCAAATGACGAATAAACGAACTCCGGGAAGTAGTAAATGAATGATGATGGAAGATGCAGATGGATGTTTGTTAACTATTGGATGGTTGGCAAATACAAAAAAGAAAAATAACGAATCAAAACTTTAAAACAAACAAATAGCATAACAACCAACCGGAAGTCATCAAAAAAACATAAATCAGTCCTTTTTACAATATATACATGCATATATAGTATTATAAATATTATTAAATGATTTTTTTTTTGTTAGTATATAGTTTTTTGAATTATTATTTTTTTGTTAAACTTTGTTCACAAGTTTTTAGTTTTAAAATATTATTTTTATTTTTTCAATTGAATCATAATGACACTGTGCTACAGGCAAAAAAGGGATGATATTTGGTAAAAAAAGGGGGATATATACATGTCCTATTCCATTTCATTTTAAAAAAAATCTAATTATGTTCCAATTTTGAGATTTCCTCATGATTTAAAAACTTTGGAACGTCTTGGAAAAAGAAAATGTTTTAGGGAAATATAGATGATACTTGGAATTAGGTCCCAGGTTGCATTTTTTAAAAAAGCGGGATTTATAAATGTCCATTTCCATTTCATTTAATAAAAGTCTAATTATATTCCCATTTTGAGAGATTCCTTAGGATTTCAAAACTTGGGAACGTCTTGGGAAATATAAAGCTTTAGGAAAATATGGATGATACTTGAAGGGTGATCCCAGGTCATATTTTGTAAAAATATAAATGTCCATTTCCATTTAATTCAAAGAAAATGTAATTATATTCCAATTTTTAAAGTTTCCTTAGGATTTAACAGCTTTGGAACGTCTTGGGAAAGAAAAAGTTTTAGGAAAATATGGATGATACTTGAAGGATGATCCCAGGTCACATTTTATAAAAAGGAGGATATATAAATGTCAATTTCCATTTCATTTAAAAAGGTCTAATTATATTCCAATTTCGAGAGTTTCCTTAGGATTTAACAACTTTGGAACGACTTGGGAAAAAAAATATTTAGGGAAATATATATGATATTTGGAGGGGGACCCAGGTCACATTTTGTAAAAAAGGGAGATTTATAAATGTTCATTTCTATTTCATTTAAAAAATCTAATTATATTCCAATTTTGAGAGTTTCCTTAGGATTTAACAGCTTTGGAACGTCTTGGGAAAGAAAAAGTTTTAGGGAAACATTGATTATACTTGGAAGGAGGACCCAGGTCACATTTTATAAAAAGGGGTTCTGTAAATGTCCAATTCCATTTCATTTAAAAAAAAGTCTAATTATATTCCAATTTTAAGAGATTCCCCAGGATTTAAGCGTTTTGGGACGCCTTGGCAAAAGAAAAAGCTTTAGGGAAATATAGATGATACTTGAAGGATGATAACAGGTCACATTTTATAAAAAGGGGTTCTATAAATGTCCATTTCCATTTCATTTAAAAAAGTCTAAATATATTCAAATTTTGAGATTCCTTCGGATTTATTAACTTTGGAACGTCTTGGGAAAAGAAAATGTTTTAGGGAAATATAGATGATACTTTTAAGCAGGTCCCAGGGCACATTTTATAAAACAGGGGTTCTATAAATGTCCATTTCCATTTCATTTAAAAAAGTTTAATTTTATTCGAATTTTGGGATTTAAAAGTTATAAAACGCCTTGGGAAAAGAAAAAGCTTTAGGAAAATATAGATGATACTTGCAGGGTGATCCTATCCCATATATAAATGTCCATTTCATTTAAAAAAGAAAATGGGAAGTTATATTCAAGCCATGGAGCCATTTTGAGAGTTTCCTTAGGTTTTAAAAAGCCTTGGATTAGAGGGTGAATGATGGAACTAGGCACGTACGACCATATTAAGCCTGGAAATAAGTATGACAAATTTTATCTGAATCAGTTCAGATGTAGCTATAGCTCCCATATATATTTTTCATCCGATTTGCTATTTTTGTCTTCCGCAGCCTAATATGCACTCGGTAGTAACGATATTTGGGGAAATATATCGAATACCGCTCAGAAATACCTTCGCCAAATTTTAAAGAGATCGGTTCATATTTGGATGTAGCTCCCACATACAACTTCGTCCGATTTGCCTTTAATTGTGCACCAAACGTGTAGTATAGGCCCAAATAATATGAAATTTTGCACTTACGACCATATCGAGCCTAGAGACAAATATGTCAAATTTGGTGAAAATCGGATCAGATATAGCTATAGCTCCCATATATATTTTTCATCCGATTTGATATTTTTGTCCTCGAAAGCCGCAATGTGCACTCTGTAACAACAATATTTGGGGAAATATATCGAATACAGCTCAGAAATACCTTTGCCAAATTTTATCGAAATCTCTTCAGATTTGGATATAGCTCCCATATACAACTTCGTCCGATTTGCCTTTTATAGTGCACCAAATGTGTAATATCAGCCTAAATGGGATGGAATTTGGCACTTACGACCAAATTGAGCCTAGAAACAAGTATGTTAGATTTGGTGAAAATCGGTGCAGATATAGCTATAGCTCCCATATATGTTTTTCATCCGATTTTCAATTTTTGTCCTCCACAGCCATAATATGTACTCTGTAACAACGATATTTGGGGAAATATATCGAATACCGCTCAGGAATACCTTTGCCAAATTTTATCGAAATCGTTTTAGATTTGGATATAGCTCCCATATACAACTTCGTCCGATTTGACTTTTATTGTGCACCAAACATGTAACATTAGACCAAATGGTATGAAACTTGGTACTTACGACCATATTAGGCCTTGAAATGAGTATGTTAAATTTGATCGAAATCGGATCAGATATAGCTTTAGCTCCCATATATATAGTTCATCCGATTTGATCTTTTTGTGCTCCACAACCGTAATATGCACTCTGTAACAACGATATTTGGGGAAATATATCGAATACCGCTCAGAAATACCTTTGCCAAATTTGATCGAAATCGGTTCAGATTCTGATATAGCTCCCATATACAACTTCGTCCGATTTGCCATTTATTGTGCACCAAGCCTGTAATATTAGCCTAAATGGGATGGAATTTGGCACTTACGACCGTATTGAGCCTAGAAATAAGTATGGTAAATTTGGTGAAAATCGGATCAGATATACCTATAGCTCCCATATATATTCATATATCCGATTTGTTATATTTTTTAGTTCAGATCCAGAATTTTAGGTTTTTTTCCCAAAGAATTAAGCCCCTGGACCCTCCATACCCGGAAAATTTGCCCTGTAGCCCAGTGTAAAAATTAGTCAGAAATTAGGAGCTATATATATATAAATAATACATATTATAACTCTCTCTCTCACTTGATATAGAAACATATATATAACTTAACATAACAGACCATACATACCTAACTAACTCTAACATACATATATTTCCATTTTTTGACTCGTAATTATTATTATTTTTTTTTTTATTAAATGTGCGTAGACAACAAATGACAAGCAAATGCATGTGTTGAATAGATGATGACGATGATGATGAAGTAAAAAAAAAATGTGTAAACAAAATTTTCGTAAACAAATAAATTGTTATAAACTCACACAGAGATTTAAAAACCCTTTACTACACAAATAACACTAACAACACACCCATTTATACAACCAAACATACAATAACTACTACAACCACTACACACATATATATGAGGAAAAAATATATAATAAGTTAGTGTTTGTTTATTGTGAAGAACAACAGCTTTAAAATTGAAATTTCAATTCTCAATTTAAAAAAAAATACAAACAAAAAGAAAACGACAAAATCTCCATGCAGAAGGATGTGTCTCAAAATGTATGAATTAAAAAATTGAAATGTAAGGTGTTAAATCAAGCAATTGAAAAAATTGGATTATATTGACCTCATATTGCAATCTTCTTATTAACAGGAATATAGAAAGCCTATCAAATTGTAATCTCGAACTTTACAGGCTTTTTTTGCAGCAAAAATATTTTTAAGAAGCCATTGTAAATTAAAAGCTTTTGTAAAAAACTAGATTATAGGGACCTTATTTTGGAAGCCTATCAAATTGTAAGCTCTGATATTCCAGGCTTAAGACTTTCTCCACTGGTTTTACATATTTTTGACTATGCAACAATCATAACCTTTAAAATATATATTTTTATCTACCTTCAGAAGACCTCTTTAATTGGCTTCTCTTTATGGAGAATATTCTATTTATCCCTGGGATTAAATTTTTTTTTTTGACTACTGGAATTGTATTGTACCTCCTGAATGATGTTCTGCCTATATAAAATATGGATATAAAGGGTACAGTAAAATGACAGAGGATTTTAATTGTAAGTCAGGGCCACCATAGACCTTGTAAAGCTGCGTCGATTTTCGATGGATCAAAGATGTTTTGAGTAAAAGAGATTTTTGTTTATTTCAAAATTAATTTGTAAGTTTGAAGTCAAGATGAAAATTTGAAATATTTTTTAGAACAACTTTAATCTTTCAGATATCCCTCTCTTCTCTTCTTTCAAAATACCATTTGTAGCTGGAATTTGATATTTTCTGTTTTTAGAATTTATTTTGCTTCAACTAGAATTATAGGTGAACTTTTGAAATATTTGGGTCTATAGAACCTCTTAACCTTTTGTTTCAGATGACTTTTTAAATTAATTAATAAATTAACTTTTTAATTAATTTAATTAAATTCTCTTTATTTCGAAATTGTGTATCTCTAGAAATGTTATTGGACTTCCCTCCTGAAAGAAATTCTGGGTATCTAAAGTACTTTAAATGTCATTGGCATACAGCAAAGATTCCTGAACATTTTTCTAAGGAAAAAGGACATATTATTTTTTTATCAATTTTTTTTCAGAAAATACTCTCTCAAATGCATTTTTTTTTTTTTTTTTTTGAAACCTCCAATGGATGATTCAAATATTTTCCTGCACATGAAGGGACTTCTCAGAAATGCTTTTTATAAATTTCTTTTGAAAAGTCTGATGTTGGAATGTATTTTGTATTTTGTCCGTCCATGGATGGTCCATGGTATGATTTTTGTAAAGAATTTTCTCAATTGGAAATATTTTGATATTCTTCAGTCTTCACAAAAAATTATTTGAGATTTTTTTTCGCAGTTTCTCTAAATGTCTCCTTGAATGACTATAACTATTCTTAAGCTATGGTATCGACGATATTTCAAGATTCCAAAATAATATTCAAAATAATTATGATTTCAGAATCAATAGCCCTTTCCTTGATAGAAATATATTCAATTACAGCTCTCCAGGAAGTTTTTCTGATAGGCCATCAAATGTTTAGCAAGAAACCCCTTAATTTCCGATATTCTTAAGCTCTGGCTCATTCAAGTTATCAGCAATATTCCAAAATTATATTTTTTAAAAATAATTATGGTTTCAGAATCAACAGTCACTACCTGTAAAATATATTGATTTACAGCTGGCTAGTAAGTTCTTCTGAAAGGCCATCAAATGTTTGGAAAGGTAATACCTTAATTCCAGTACTTTTTTCAAAATTTGAACATAAAGTTTTCATAGGAAAAATAATAAAATAATAATAATTTTCAATTGGACATATTTGATATAATTAAGTCTGAAAAAATGTTGAAGATTTTTAGAGGGTTTCTCTAATTTCCTTTTCCAATCAGTAGTTAAAAGATATAGATCCAAAAAAGAGGTAAAAAAATAAAAGATTCCAAAAAGTTTTGAAAATTATATATTCCGAATAATCAGCACTCTTCTTGACCAATAATATATCAATTTACAACTGTCCCGGCTGAACGGCCTTCAAATGTTCTGGAAAGGCAACTCCTAAACTCCAGTATTTTTTTCAGCTTTGAAGAAGAGTTCCCATAGCCACATAATATTGAAAATAAACAATAGAATTGAAAATGGCGCGAAGATTTAAAATTTAACATAATTCCAAAAAGTAGGAAAAAACCCCAATGAAAGTAGGGCGAAGTTTAAAAATCTATTTAGCTTGATCTTTTCTCCCTACATTTCCATATTTTGCAATTCATACATTTTTCTACATCATCCCTGCATAAATCACATACACATATAATTTTTAAGTAATAACCAACAACTACTTTTAGATAGATCCAAAATGTTTTCAATTTTTTTTTTAAAAAGAAACAAAAAAAAAAAAACTACCAAACGAAAATTTAAATGAAACTAGCATTTTCTCCAAAAAAAATGTTTTTTTTTGGGTTAGCTTTTTGGAGATTTTTTTTTTATTATTCTAATTATACAATATATATATGTTTTCTATTACTATTATTATAAAATATTAATTAATTAATTATTATTATTATTGATCAGTGAGACTGTAAACTTTTTTCTATTATTTTAGAAACTTTTTCTCTTTAACAAAAAAGAAACATAACCTTAAAAAAATTCCCCCAAAACAAAAAAAAAAACAAATGATAAAATGTTTGTTTTTTTTTTTGAAAAGAAAAAAAAATATAAATGAAAAACAAACGATGATGAAGATAAAAACAAATGCATTTAATTATATATATGAAATTGTTAAACAAATCAAAAAAGGAAAAGAAAAAACCAAAACAAAAGAAAAGAAAAATTTAAAAATTTACATTTAAAAAAAAAATTAAAATTAAAAAAAATTAAAAATTTTATAATTTTTTTTCTCTGCAATCCAAAATGAAAAAAACATAATTAAATTAAAAAAAAAAACATTAAAAACCAATCCATTATTTTTGTTCATTATTATTAATTTTATTATAATTAAATTGTATAAAAAAATGATAATTATTATTAATTCATTATTATTCTCTTCTATATATATAGACATACCATACATACTATATATATGTGTTTTTATGAATTTAGCCATAGTTGTATTTAATATTAGATTTAAAAAAAAAACAAACAAGAATACATAACAATGTATATTTTTAAGACGTTCCAAAGGAATGTGCTGCATATAACATTAAATTAAATAATAATAAAAAAAACAAAACAAAAAACAAATACTTGTAGGAATGCAACATTTAAAATTAAACAATTTAGTAAAAGAAATTCTTTAAAAAACATAAACATCTATTGTAAGTAAATGACAATGAAAACACAAAACTCATAACTGTGTGTCAATCAATAAAAATTACAAAAAAATTAAAAATATCAACAAAAAAATTTAAAAAATAATAATTAAATGTTTTTTCTTTTCTCAATGATGTGTGTTTTTTATGTTGGCTTTTATTGATGATGATTTTTGGAAATATTTAAAATCTTAGAAATTATTGAAATATCCAATGTAAATTTTGTATACCCTACACCACATCGGGGCAAGGGTATTATGTCATTGAGCATTTGTTTGTAACATGGAGAAAAAGAGGCGATATAGACCCATAGTTACTTTTGAGGATCTTCATAGAATCACTTTCTGAGGCGATATATGTAAGTGCATCCGACCGTCCATCTGTCCATGTATTTTTGTGAACAAAATGCGGTCGGATTGAGATGAAATTTTGCAAACAATATTTGTTTGGTCCAAGGACGAACCCTATTGAAATTGATGAAAATCGGTTCAGATTTGGATATAGCTCCCATATATATTTTCAACCGATTTTGGGTTAATCATCCACTAAATGGCCAATATCAGTCCGAAGGACCTGAATTTTGGCACACCCAACCGAATTCAACCTATAAGCAAGTACATCAAATTTGGTGAAAATCGCTTCAATATTAGATATAGCTCCCATATATATCTTCAACCGATTTCTGGTTAATTATGCACCAAATGGTCAATATCAGTCCAAATGACCTGCATTTTGGTACATCCGATCGAATTCAATCTAGAAGCAAGTACATCAAATTTGGTGAAAATCGGTTCTAATTTAGACATAGCTCCCATATATATTTTCAACCGATTTCGGATTATTTGTGCACCAAATGACCAAAATCAGTCCAAATGACCTGAATTTTGGTACACCCAACCGAATTCAACCTATAAACAAATACATCAAATTTGGTGAAAATCGGGTCAGATATAGTCATAGCTCCCACATATAAGTTTCATCCGATTTGGTGTTTAAGTCCCTCACTTGCGAAACATGCATTCGACAGTAATGATATTTGGTACCAGATATCTTAAAGAGCTCGGAAATACATTTTCCAAATTTTATCAAGATCGGTTGCGATTTGGATATAGCTCCCATATATATTTTCAACCGATTTCGGATTAATTATGCACCAAATGGTCAATATCAGTCCAAATGACCTGAATTTTGGTACATCCGACCGAATTCAACCTAGAAGCAAGTACATCAAATTTGGTAAAAATCGGTTCAGATATAGTTATAGCTCCCATATATATGTTTCATCCGAATTGGGGTTTTAAGTCCCTAACAAGCGTAATATGAACTCCACAAGAATGATATTTGGTATCAGATATTAGATACAGCCCATAAATACCTCTGCCAAATTTTATCGAGATCGGCTAAGATTTGGATATTGGTCCCATATATATCTTCAACCGATTTCGGGTTTAACCATGCACTAAAAGGCCAATATCAGTCCGAAGGACCTGAATCTTTGCTCATCCGAACTAATTCAACCTAGAAGCAAGTACATCAAGTTTGGTGAAAATCGGTTCAGATATAGCTATAGCTTCCATATATATGTTTCATCCGATTTTGGGTTTAAAGTCCCTCACATGCGTAATATGCGCTCCACATGAATGATATTTGGTACCAGATATCTTATAGAGCTCGGAAATACCTCTGCCAAATTTTACCAAGATCGGTTGCGATTTGGATATAGCTCCCATATATAACCTTAATCCGATTTCAGGATTTTTGTGCAAATAATGGCTAATATGAGTGGTACTCTTCTCCGATACATATATATTTTTTTTAAATATAATCCTTCTCGAAGTGATATCATGCACCCTATAGCTGTATGTTGTTATCTGGCATAAAATATTAAACTGTCTTCGTCAAATTTAGTGAAAATCGATTCAGAATTAGTTACGTCTGAAACCAAATTATGGCTGTTCTAAAGCCAAATGTTGATGGGTGGAAAGATCTACTTCAAATAAATTCTTTTGTTACAAGAGCTCTACTAAATAATCGTAGTGGTGTAGGATATCATATAGTCGAACCCACCCGACTTTTGACATTTCCTTATTGGTTTGAATTTATCTTATACGGTGGTCATAATTTTCCCCATTTCCAAACATCATCATCATTAAAAGAAACCCAACACACCTTTAGGCTTAGAGTTGTTATGCAATGTTGAAAGCAATTGCAAATATCTGATAAGGAACAGTAAACAATTCAAAAAAAACCAAACTTGGAGAATAACAGATCTTCACAAATTCCACAAAAAAAAAAAAAAAAATAAATAAATAAAATAAAAATAAATTTGGTATGTAAAGTAAGATAATAGTTGAACCCGAGAACATTAAAAGCTAAGGATAATTCATGAGTAAGACACAAATCACTCCAATCAGTATCCAGTTTCTTATTTTGGTTTTAAATTTGAAATTTGAGCACCTTTTCAATTTATTAAAAAATTAAGACAAGCAAACCAAACACCCCTTTTGAAAAAATGAAAACCGTGATAAATGAAAGAGAAAAATTAAATAAAAATAAAATCTTTCAACACAAGGTAAAAACATGTGGTTGCCAAAGTTATATTAATTAAAAAAATATGATAACTTATTTTAAATAAAAAATAAAAAAAAAAAAACAATTTTCAAAATAATAAAAATTTATTAATTAGTAATAAAAACTGATGGAGAAGAAAATAACATAACTTTTACTAGACGTAATAATAATGCATTTAAACAATGAAGTATTTAAAAAAAATATTAACGAACAAAAAAACAGACGAAATAATAAAAGAGCGATAAGTTTCAAGTTGTTCTCTTTTTCCCCCCAACACACTCCCTACACAGCAACAACCTTAAAACTAAAACACGAAAATTAAAAAAAAACAACAACAAAATAACACAACATTGGAATGTAAAAAATTCAATAATTTTATTATAAATTTTTTTTTTAACAAAAAAAATTAAAAATAAAAATAAAAAAAATATTATAATAATAATTAATTTAAGGTGTAATTTTTGAGTATTTTTTTTTGATTTTTCGACCTTGTTGAATTGTCCCGTCAATGACCTCAAATTCATTTATACGAACTTGACTTCATTGACAGTACCACTCAAAAACATCAAAAAATCAGAAAAAAACATTTTATTCCTTAAATTAATGTATTTATTTATTTATTTTTTTTTAATTTAAGTATTTTGATTTTGTTTTAAAAAATATTTAGAATTTGTTTAATTTTTTTTATTATTTTATTTAACAAAAAATAAATTAAATTTTTTTCTAATTTTTGACTTTCTTTGAATGTCTATAACCTTAAGTTCCAACAAATTGAAATTAAAATTTTGAAATTGAAATTAAATTATTTATTTTTTTAAGAAAATATTTTTTTTTGAAATTTACGTAATTTTTTTAAATAAAAGTAATTAATTTGAAATTGAAATTCAATTCTTTATTTATTTTTTTTAAGAAAATATTTTTCTTAAATTTAAGTAATTTTGATTTTATTTAAAAAAATATTTAGAATTTATTTAAATTTTTTTATTATTTTATTTAACAAAAAATAAATTAAATTATTAAATTAATTTTTTTTTCTAATTTTTCACCTTTGGATTTGGAATGTCTAGTTCCAACAAATTGTTTTTATTAATTTACATAATTTTTTTTCCGAAATTTGAATTAAATTAAATTAGAATGACTTTTAAAAAATATTTTTTTTTATTAATTTTAGTTTTAATTTTGATTTTATTTTAAAATATATTTAGAATTTATTTATTTTTTTTTATTATTTTATTTAAAAAAAAATAAATTAAATTAATTTGTTTTTCTAATTTTTGACCTTTTTTGAATGTCTATAACCTCAAGTTCCAACAAATTGTTTTTATTAATTTATAAAATTTTTTTCCGAAATTTGAATTAAATTTAAAAAAAAAATATTAAGAATTATTTTTTTAAATATTTTTTTTTATTAATATTAGTTGTTGTATTAATTTTGATTTTATTTTAAAAAATATTTAGAATTAATTTATTTTTTTTTTATTATTTTATTTAACAAAAAATAAATTTTATTATCAAATATTTTTTTCCTAATTTTTTATATTAATTTGAATAATTAAATGTTTTTTATAATTTTTTGACCTTTTTGAATGTTAATCTCAATGACGTCAAGTTCGAAAACAAATAATTTTTTTTCCAAAAATTTGATTATTTTTTTTAAATATTTAAAAAAACATTAAATTTAGTTTTTGTTTTATTATTTTATATAAGAGAAAAATAAACAAATTAGTTGAATTAATTAAATATTTTTTTTTTAATTTAAGTTATTTTGATTTTATTTTAAAAAAAATATTTAGAATTTATTTAAATTTTTTTATTATTATTTAACAAAAAATAAATTAAATTATTATTTTTTTCTAATTTTTGACCTTTTTGGAATGTCTATAACCTCAAGTTCCAACAAATTGTTATTAATTTATATAATTTTTTTCTGAAATTTGAATTAAATTTTAAAAAAATATTTTTTTTTTATTATTTTATATAACAAAAAAAAATTAATATATTAATTTGAATAATTAAATGTTTTTTTATAATTTTTGAAACAAACTATTTTTATTAATTTAAATAATTTTTTTCCAAAAATTTAATTATATTTTAAAAATTTTTAGAATTCAATTAAAAACATTAATTTTAGTTTTTTTTTATTATTTTATATAACAGAAAAATAAACAAATTAGTAAAATCAATTAATTTTTTTCTGATTTTTTTTAAATTTTGGACGTCAATGACCTCAAGTTCGAACAAATTGTTTTTATTAATTTAAATAAAT